GGGGGGGGGGGAGGGATAATTAATATTAAGTATATCAATATATCGCGTGGAATAAAGGGTTCGACGTAGTAGGTAGTTACTGTACAGTATTCGATATAACATTATTAACAAATTATCTCGATATCAGTTAGTTAATAACGTGCGTTACTCGGAAAACGGCGGAGTTTCGCAAGAGTCGAGAACTGGAGGTAGAAGAGTACACGCGAAAAGCGATTAAAGCAATAAAGTTTCTGCCGCGGTCGCGCAGTTTGAATTATTACGGCGACCAGATTTGCCTGCGGTCGCGGAATATGAGGACAAACTTCCTCTTCTTCGTTTGAACATCGCTTCAACATGACTGAACATTTCTTCGTTATCGCATCGAGCAAGGAAAATACATACTTTATCCGGGAATAATAAATAGGAAAAGGACAAATCGAGAGATGATATTTTAAAATCAATGTGAAAAATTAATGACTTTGAGATGTACGATCCAAATAATATAATAGTACTGAGGACTTACATAGAAAAATAAAAGATTTCTTTGGATTTAATAAAATTTCTTTATTTGTCTTTTGAAATTAAACTAACAAAAGAATATTTCATTCAGTAAATAGGATTGCTTGATTTCTAAAACAATAAATATCTTTACGTCAAATAATTCATAATAATCAATAATTCGTTATTTATTTTTTTGTATTTTCATCCGAACATTACATTGGTTGTCACGAGCAATAAATTATTTGAACGGAGTAACACTATATTAAAAAAATATTAAAAGAACTTTTTGTTTCAGTGGAATAATATTTAATATATAATGAAATAAATTATTTTTATTGAAAACAAAGTATTACTTCCTCCAAGAGTAGTATTGTTTCTTTTTCATCAAACATCATGGTCTTCTCTAGTGAAACATTTTCATTCAAACAAAATTATATTTGGTATTAAATTATGTTGTTTATATTAAACAAACCCAAGTCAACAAACGTATATACTAAATCCGAAGAAAACCTTTCTTCTACATACAAGAACCATGCATTGGAAATCAGTACGCGTAATTTACTTTACCTTTCGTTAACAATTTGACAGAGATGTTACATAATTAAATTCGCAAGCTTCAATAGCAGACGTTTCGGTCCTCCGAAAAATAATAAAATGTGACTTTTCTAGGCCTTCAATATTATTAGGTGTGTGTGCTAAATCTTTTAATCTACTCATATTACGAAAACAAAGCGAAATTTGTGGAAAGAAGACTGAAATTTTTCCACACACTTAATATATTATTTTGATCCTTTAAACGCTGTCTGTAGACTCTTTCGTTGGTGTGCTTCTCGCAAGGTATCGGTGAAAAATCAATCAGAGTTAACGCTCAATTTATATATCCAATGATAGCGATAATTTTTGTCTTTTTTATTGAAAATAACACGTAGAGAGATATGATTTACATGCGCCTCTGAGTTCCGCAGTACTCGTCGCAAAGGAGTCCACGTTCTCTCGACGTGTATCGATCCCTTCGCAGGAAAGAGCGAACGGTCAAAGTTTCTCGCGTTTCGCATCCGAGGTCTCTCATTAATGCTCCACGACTTAGAGGAAATTTGAGGTTGGAGTTAATTGAAACGTATCGTTTCATCCGTCACGTCCGCGCCGCGCTGCGAGGAGAACGCGTCCGTTTGCGACGACCAAATATTTACAACGCGCCACATACAGGCGCACATATGCTCGCGCGCCCACACGCGAGGCATTATCGGGTGGGTTTCTTTAATAACCTATGGTACGTGGAAAATTGATCTACCTGGGGCTTGAAGCGGTTAGTCATCTCGCTATTAACGATAACGATCGCCAGATAGTCGCCAGCGTGCTAATTCTCGCGGTCCTTCGACTTGTCCCTTCGCAAAATACTTCCCCCAGTCGGTGCTTCCCGAGTCGCGACTAATTAGTTTAGTGTCTCCATTTATATATATATATATATATATATATATATATATACGTAGGGCTTTCGACTGTTTTTGATTTTTGCTGCCCGAAGCATTACAATAGTCGGCTATCGCCGACTTAACAATGATACCAAATAGATACGCCTTCGCGCGAACTATTCGCGCGCGATAGAAAACGATTCGCGATCGGCGATACTACACACATCGGCGAGAGATAGAGAGAGAGCGATAGAGCGAGTACAACACAGCGGTATGTGAGATATCGACCCGTCAAGGGGAATATTAACAGGCGCGTCACTGTTAAAAAGTGAAATGGAAAAAATATCGTGCAACGCTGGAGCGGACAGCTTGTAAAAAGGAGAACTCCTGCTCCTGCCGACGCTCCTTTCGACGGTGTTTCACGATATTTCGCCCCCTTGTTACTTCGTGCCGTCACACCGACATCGACCGTGACAGGTGTCAATGCCGATCGCGGCTGATCGCTGTCGACATTGCGAATGTCCAGATGTATATCACACATACATACACACATACACGCGCACATATACACACATAACAGGTACGACAGGCATGCTGCTAACGGCAACTAGAACCAATTACCGGGATCGCGTTAAGTATTACACGCGCATTCGATTTCGACGTGATGTGATGACGTCCCTCGAAGCAGACAGCGAAGAGAAATCCCACGCCGGCGAAATGGATGCACACTTCACTTGTCGTCGGTGGAAAAGCGCATGTCAGTTCAGTCGCGCGGAATTTTCCCGCTCGTCACATAAACGAGAGAGTGATTTGCCAAGCCTCGCCGCGAAATTTAAGTCAGTTCTGTAAACGGATGATCTCCGATGATCGTCTGTCTCGAAATCGCAACTTGTAGGCTAAAGATCCGGCTGAACGAGCGATTTCAGAAATTTTGTCGGAATCTCTCCAATCACGCAGAAAATAGTGTTAAATTCAAATGAATAATTACTCCAATATTCTTCAGCAGATTTTTACTTGGATCCAAATAAATACTTTATTTGGACCAAGTAATATTTCTTTGACCCAAATAAAAATGTATTTAGGAGTAATTGGAGTAATCACACACATTCACTTAAATCTAACGCTATTTTTCTGTGTACGCGGAGAAAAAGATTTCTTTGGATTTAGCACACGTGTTTGTTTGATTTAGGTTTGTTTAATATAAACGAATAATTTAATATCAAATATCATTTTGCATGAATGAAAATGTTGATGTTCCACCAGAGTTAAACTGTGTTGTTTGATAGAAAAAAGCAATATTATCTTGTGAAAATAATATTTGGTTTCCAATAAAAGAATGTATTTTATTGTGTATTAAATATTTCCCTACTAAACAAAAAGAAGCTTTTAAATATTTTTCTAACATAGCGTCACTTTTTCCAAATAATTGATCATTTCTATCAACCATTGAAATGAAAACGTAAAAGATACATGTTATTTGACGTAAAAAAGTGTTTATTGTTTGAGAAACCAAACGATTCTCCTTGTTGAATCAAACATTCGTTTGTTCGCCCCGTTCCAAAAGACAAATTTGTCTCAATTAAAGAAATTTTATTAAATCTAAAAAATTCTTTTCCTCTGTAGCGACGCAGTAGCGGCGGACGAGAAGTCAAAGAAACGGAAGGACCCGCTTAAATCGGCAGTCAACTCTCGAATTCCCGCTTTGGTCCCGTCTGAAATCTTACAGCTGGCAGCTCTCCGAAACGCGTTCTCGCGCGCCACCACTTTCATAAATGGAACTTCAATAAGCGCCGATATGGAGAGGCGCGTTTTTTTACTTTTGATTTTTTTTTGCTTACATTCGTTACGCGCACAACATTTGACTAGTTTCCGGTCCACTGTTCGCAGCCACCGCGATCGTTCAAACATACAGGAATTCTTCCGGGAGATAAATAGATCGCCGGTAAAAGTGCGAGCACTTTCACAAATAGGATTTGCCTCGGACACACGTCGGCTTTCGAGCGCGATATAACGCTCCGGTTCCGCGGGGAGCGTTAAGTACTTTCGAACTGACGGGACTTTGGACTCATGGGCAGGAAGTTTATTCGCTACTCATTTACACGTTCCCCGTTTAAACCGTCGCGATATATCCAGCGGTGTGAGAGAGCCGAGAGCACCGCCCTCCACTGGGATTATTTCTGGACCGATTGACAAACGGAGACAATTGCAAAGCTTTTGGTACCGGACTAGAGGATATTGGAGATTGAGGTTCGCGGACTAGAGATTGGAATTCGATGAATCAACTGGTTGATTCTTGGCTTTCACTTTGTCCCGGCCAAGCCGAGCTCTGATCTTCAATCCGCAATCTTCAATTTCCGATAGTCGGAGCGCAATCCACCAGAGGCTTTGTAGGCTTCAAAGCCGGTTTTACACACACGGGATTAACATGTTAACTGCCACGAGAATCACCGGTGTTGCGGGTATTGCCACGTTTTTACGTAATTTACGTAAAACGTAACTACAAGTGCACGTAACAAATTAAATATACAGCTAATTGTGAGCCAATAAATCTAATTAGCGGGTGTATGTATCGTAAATTGTATTTACCATATCTATTTATCTATTTACATACCTATTGATTTGTTTTATTATATCCTCGATAATTCAATCTTTGAGCACTGAAATAATCAGCGGAAATGAGTAATTTAAAATAATTTGAAAATTATTTGAAGAGTTGAAAATTGAAATAATCAATATAGAAATAGATAACAGCGTGATAATCAACATGTTAATGACGTCATTACGTAATTAGAATTAAAGCCCTGAAAATCAGAGCCCAATAGGGCTCGATTTTTTACTTATCAAGTATTGGTTTCTCGTTAACCAGATGATCCGGACCAAGCTCGGGTCTGAAGTTACCAAAGCGGATACAGATCCAGCCGTGTTATATTTGACAGTGAATTGGACCGGATAAGGCTCTACTGGGCTTTGTTTGCAGGGCTACAGTTAGAGCGGCTTGAAGAGTTCAGTGAATCCTATCTCTAACTTGACACGGATTTCACGCTTAAGGTGACTTTCATCCAAGTCCGATTAAGCTAATCGACGATTAAAAATTGCTGTCAGTTAAGCATTACCCACTATATTGCTAATGCAGATAAAAATGACGAACTTTCCGATTACCGTTCAACGACAAGTTGCAGAACTGGAAATTGGCTCAGAAACAAACCAAATTCTCCGCTCATAGAAATATAAATCCTTTTTTCTGGCCTCTCGCGTCTCTCTGTAAGTAATACTGTATTATTACATTTTTATTATTTTTATATAATAAATAAGTAAATTGACAGGTGGCAATTCCTATTATTGTTCGACGTTCAGCTTAATCGGAGTTCGGCGAGAGTCAGCCGTAGAGCCTACGGCTACGCCGCGAGCCCGAAGTCCATCTCAGCCGGGTGTATCTGACCGTCGTAAGGCAAATCTGACTAGCATCGGTAAAAATGTGATTCTTATCGTATGATAATTCAAATGTCTCCTAAAAGTATCCGGCTATACAGACATCTCGTGATTACAGTCGCACGGTAGAAACACGCTCGCGCATCGTGCAACAAGGAATAGCCGTTCGAGTCGTCCCGGGGTTCAAGGACAACGCCGTTGCTCATCCGTGGTGCACAGGGTGCTCTGTCGCTGCTGGCTGCTCTCGAGCCTGTTGTTCTTCTCCGGCTGTTCGCGATCGCTATTGGCGACGTTCGCCGGTGGACCGGCGACTGGTGCCGCCTGCGGCACGTCGCGGATGCTCCTCAGCATGTAGCAGCGACGGTGCGGACTGTGCCGGCTGTAGAAGCTGTCGTAGCCGCTGCTCGACGTCGCGGTGCGTCGCAGCGCGAGAACGGCGTGGTGGCCGCCCATGGGGATGCCGCAGCCGCAGCCGGGTAGCATGTTTCGTTGGCGCAACAAGCCGCGACGCGTGCCCGGCACGCTACAACCGCCACAAGCGTCATCGATCATCGCGCTCTGTAACAGTGTCAAGGAGCGGTCGACTTTTTAGCTGCGAGTGCCGCATGCGAGCGCGGACGAGCGAATTTGCCCGCTCGAACGGGCGTGGAATTGACGGTGAGTTTGCGGCAAATGATTTTCACAGTGTCTCGTTGGTTGAACGAGCAGGCTCGTCCGGCCGATGTTCACCGAGGACGAAGGGTCGAGGACTAATTTGATGGAAAGGAATTATTTCTGCGATTATGCTCTCTCTCTCTCTCTCTCTCTCTTTCTTTAGGTCAGCTAATAATACGATGACAAATTAAAGAGAAGTTAATGATTGATCGGTTGATTTGACATTTGAGGCTTTCGCGCTGTGAGAAACGTTAGGATTCGATTTCCAGGTCAGAGCCGTGTGTTTCACTTGTTTCCAACGTTTCGTGCACACTTCGATTTATCTCATTCGGAAAGAAGGGAAAGCTTTAATCCTGACTTCATTAAATATCAGGTTAATAATTAAATATCCGATATTTAATCGTCCACCTAATTGATTGGGTTTTACTTCCAAGTTAAATTAATTTTTCATAACGATATTATTATGAGAAGATGCACGGTTATTAAAATTTCCGACAGATTCCTACGTTTAATCGTTTAATTCGCTTTTAATCAATTTCAGATAATATAGATTCATTTGATTAAATATATATTCGTGTAAAGATTATTCATACAGGATTTTACAATCAGCCCTACATCGGGCCGTTATATAGCAAATTTTCGATATTAGCGCGATACCAGCAATCGATATTAGTTCGATATTAGATTACAATCGGATAATAATTCGGGTCCAACGTTAGCATTCAATTCTTGACCGAGAATTCATGCCATCCATGCATCAACCAAAAATGAAATTCCCCGTGTAATGTTCGACATTGATTTCAAAATCATGCGCGTGCCATTTGGTGTGAAGCAGGGGCGGGGGAAAGGGAGGTTATATAGAAATTACTGTGCGCGAAATTTTTTGAACGAAGTATGCACGAAATTTCATATTTCGTACGATAAAAGCTCCCAATACTCTACTTCTACAAATTCGCCTATCAATTATTCTGGCCGCATATTCTCGTGCGTTCGCTTTCGTGTTAGAATGACTGACAGGTGTAAGAATATGTTTAAGTTTCTCGTGCGATAAGTAACAATATATTTGAATAACGAAAGAATAGGCTGTTATTCACGCTTACCTTCGATCTGCTTACAAACACCCGCTGATATCTATTATCTCTAACAGTAGCAGAGTATGAGTGACCCAAATATATGATTATTCATTTTGCCTGATTAATACAAGTAAATGGCTAATTATATAGAACAATAAGCAAGAATATATTTAAAGAAAATATTATAATAATATAATAAATAAACATCTTGCTGGGGTCGTGAATGATTCTTACCTATGATTTTAAAAAAACAAATGCGAACAAATGTATAATATTATATATTACATTTGTTCATGCAATGTATTTTCGGTTATAATTCTTAGAAGGTAATAATGCTATCGCTTAACATGTAATAACTTCATTCGATTAATTTTAGTTAAATGCAATTATCTTCTTTACTGAGAGAAGTAAATGTAGCAAGTTTTAATCGAACATATTAGAATCTTTCTAAATGAATTTTTTAGCCTTGGGAAAGAAACCGAAAAAATTCGAGAAAAATGGTAAAGAAAGAACTGGTTTTTTCTAAGTTTCCGAAACTATATCCCTACTTTTTCTTGCGAGGATTAACGACTAATAAATTAAAGTAAAGAACAAATTATAGTATTCGATTTTTATAAGAGTAAATTATTCAGTGAATTATAATTCAATTTTTATAAGCTGTTTCTCTGTCTCATCCCCTCTCTCTCTCTCTCTCTCTCTCTTACGTTTTCATTATGTACTTCTATCGTGCGAGCGTATAAAACTTATCACGGTGTAGTTCATTGTTCCGTCGAGAAAAGGGCCGAGAGGAAACAGTTTTGACAAATATAGATCGTTAATTGGTAAAATGGAAAGCTGCATAATTTCCTCCTACTATTATTACGTCGAACGAACCGATCGAAACAGTCGAAGCGTCGAATTCTACCTACGCGACTTACAAACGGTAACGCAATATGAAATGCGCCGACCATATCATATCAACCATGCATAGCTATTATAATCCTGTTATCTTAATCTGTTTGTACGGGTGGGCGTTACACCGGTCCTACATAATGTAATAAATGATATCTCTCGCTGCATCGCGCATACGTTTTCACCGCTCCAACTAAGAAATGAATTTTCGCCGATTAGCTAGCTGGATTTCAATCCGATATCTTGAGGACGAATTTTTCGCGTTAAATTTAACACGTTCCATACCGCGTGGACATCGGTGACCCACATTGAACTTTCCGTCCATTTATAAGGGTCGTACCTTTTACATTTATACGTCACTCATCTTAGAGAGGCGAAAGGGAAATGCGAAAGATATAAGGAAAAAATTATCAAAACTTTCCGAAAATAATATGTCACGTAAAATATAAAAATTAAGTTTTAATAAATTTGCTGCTGCATCGATATAAAAAAAAATTCCATTACTATATATATTACTGATTTAAATTTGATGATTAGTTCAATATATTCGTACGTGTAAATTTGTATACGTTTCATAATTGTAATTGAAGAAATTGTAAAATTTCCATCATCAATTATTTGGGTTATTACGGAGCGCATGTCATTTGATAAGTAAAATTTAGCTTGTATTAAGATAATGTGGGCCGCCACCGGTGGTCCACGTGGACGACAAGGTCGCGTAAAATTAATCGGCGACTACGGGATGTGTTAACGAAGCTCATTAAAACTGAAAGCAGACACCAGCTTCTATCGATTGACAAATGTCATGTATATACGAGTACACATGGATGACTTCCGAGGCGCCCATTGTGTTGTCACTATCATTTTAGTCACCTCCGACCGATGGATTGTAATTGGATTACAACAATCAGTTGAGACTATATTCATTAATAATAAGAATAATAAAAAAGCAAAGGAGAACAGGTGATTTTTTCGACGGATCGCGGAACATTTTCCTTGTCGTCCGGTGAATCTCTTTCTCGCGGTGTATAAGTCGCGTCGCGCTCGTTCGTCACGCGCATGTTATAATTTCGCTCACGGAGAGAATTCTTATTGGGGCATCGTTCGATGCGACCGTGCGATACTCTCGCCCCTTAGACTCTCGTAAATTGCAGCACACGGAACGATTTGACCTCGATCATATAAATTCCAGTCGGAGGAGACACACGGGCCTCCGCTGTTTTCGAATAATCCGTCGATATCGGGAGGTGCACGTGGCAACCACGGGGAGCCTTCGCAGCCTGGTCGGGGTTCTCGTAGAGCACGTAAACACGTGTACGCGCGCACGAAGGCACGTGGATCTGGCAGGTACGTCTGTGTGAAATGCGCGAACGTGCGGTGTAGGAACACGTTTTTCCGCGACGTGTAAATGATGTCGCGACGAGACTCGATAACGAGACGCACCCGCTCGTGTGCGTAGCGAGAGCGCGAGCTAATGTTCAACACAACGGCGAATTTTCGACATTTTTGCACGTCGCAATTTATTTTCAAGCACGCCCTGTCGTCGTCAGGCCGTATCGCTGCGCGCGCGATCGTGAGTACGAATTACAATTATCGGCTGTGCGCTTAATAATTGCGGAAGAACGTCGCCCGTATTAATTATTCCGCATTGGATTCGGCGCGTCAGTTGTGCGCGTTGTAATCGCACGCGTGTTCATTTGGTTCTTCGCACTTTCAGCATTCAGTAATACGTAAAATATTTTGGTGTAATTTCAATACCGTCCGCACCTTTCTTTCGACTCCTCTTGTTTTTCAGGTTTCAGTTGCTTTACCTCGTGCGTTTCATAACAATATATTTCTTTTTAATCTTTCGTTGACACGCTTATTTTTTGCTGCCTAGGTTGGCACAGTCGGGGCTGTAAGTCCCGGTAATTTAAAAAAAAAATGCACTAAAGATAATATAATGTTATGTTATGTTAAATGAACACATTCGCTTTATCAGCACATGTACTTTTTAACACATTCTCCCCGTGTTCAATAATACAAGTTCAGTAATACAAAATTTTAGTGGGCTGTTAACACAAAACTTTTCACTGATACAATTTTTAAACTTTTCATTGTATAATGACTCAAGATTTAACAACTATAGGATTTTTATTTTTTGCTCGTATATATTTAATTTATGAATGTCAAACTAGAATTAAACATATATTGTAATATTATATTTTATTTTCCTCGAAATAAATTTATACGTATACTCGTGTAATCTACACTCAAAGGGATTTGCCCGGGAGAATGTTAAATAAATAAATACTGTAATAATAGCAATAAAATATATATGTAAAATGTATGTATGTTGACATGCAATAACTGCCACATTCGCGCGTTCACGTGCGCCGGCTTCAACGTTCCCGCGAAAATCAGGCCGCGAATCTCCTGGGAATTTTATTTAGGAAAGCCATCCATCCAGAGAGCGTATGTAATCTGCATTCATTCGGGAGCGTTTGTTTCCCGCAGGACTGACGTTAAATGCAATGTAAAATTCCGCCGCATCCGTTAACGCCAAGATTCCGAAATAAATCTGACGGGGAATTCGCATAAGACCGACGCGATATCTCTTGTTTTCTTTTTTCTTTATCCTACCTTTTCCCTTCATTTTTTTTTCATTACAAGTATTACGAGTACATGAGAATTACGTGGCACTTTATCGCAAGCCGTTATTTCCGCTTCTTATCTCGCATCACCAAAGTTTCAGTGCTGTTCCCGTAGGCGGTGTGACCATTTTTTTTATTCCTGTTATGCCTCCTTTTACGGGAGAAGTCGCACAACGGCGAGACTTTCAGCCGGAGCTGTATCGCAAATTCCCAACTTTACCGGAGTTAAGGGACTTCATTCGGCGCCCCGGTGTTTCTACGTTCATGGACGAAGAAATTTCGTCCCGATCCCGAGTGGATCAAATTC